TTTTTAAGTGGGAGAACTTGCACAATTGGTGGCTGACTAAGTACTTTTTTGCCCCACTGTACATTTAGTTTAACTCATCATACATACAACACTCAATAGTAAACATATCTTTTTAAAGAAATTCAGCACTGAAGGGCAAACCATAGAAGATTACCATTTTTACAAACATCAATCCCGCATAGGAAATGTCTTTCATTGCAAGCAACACATGGAGGGAGCTACGAAGTGACATGACATACGATGCATGGTTTGTGGGATTCATGGCGCTTCTAACACAGATTCTTTTTCTAATTTTGTGAGAAGCTGTTTGATGAGCAAGCTTATGGCACAGGTATAAAATGACCAACTCTGTAGTTCTTGCCTTGGATAATTCATTCACAAAAAAGCATCTGACAAACTGATGCCCACTCATTTTATGAATCTCTGCAAAAGCAACCAAATGAGACCACATAAATCCAACACAAATACAGGGGGCAAAGCAGACACTTTATATATCATTTGTCTCATACAAAATATAGTCCTGCATCCAAGTAAATGGTATGTCTACTTGTAAATGTGTGCACCTACTGTGGGTGGAGCAGGTGAATGTTTCTTCATACAATCAATTTTACAAGAGCCATTATGGTGTAAGGTAGCCAGGACACCAGTACATATAATGTATATTACACCACCTTATTTTGCCTATGGCTTGAATGAACACAGTCCCATTCTTCCTCATCCAAATCTCTCTTCTAAGAGCTATGCCACCTTCTTCTGCCAAGGGATTGTGACAGAATTCCTCCACCACCAACTGTTGACTTACAGCATTCTCCTACCCCTTTTTAACTTGAAACACTATAGAGGTTTGGGACCCACCTTGTCTTTGATATATCAGTTCTTCCCACAGCTGAAATATTCAATCCAAAGTTATTAACAACTTCACCCAAAATGCTATGTATAGGTATTAACTCTGTATTGTTAGTGATATATAAACATGCAAATAAACTCAAAAATAAAGTATGTTATATTGTTTCAGAAATATTTACTTTAATGCTTTAAAAACTTAGAAAATGGAATTGTCCTTAGAAGAAAAGTTTTCTCCTGATTAACAGCATCTTTAGATGCTCTTTAAGATTACAATGCTCCTTTATCAAATTATCAAAACAAAACCCTTCAAATCATGATAGTCATCTCACTGATTTGTCTTTGAATCAGATCTCCTCTTCCTGTTTTTGTAGTTATTAGGGCTTAATCATACATATCATACATCTAAAAAAGTGCTACAGAATTTAGAGACATTTATTTCCAGGTAAACATGAATAAGACTGGATTGTAAGAGATCTGAAAGGTTTGCAATCTATTCTAAAATGAAGAGCACAATTTTCATTTGTTAACTATGTTCAAATATGAGCCAAGTTGAGCTTTAATAAAGAAGTATTTTTTTAAAAAAGAGCCAGTTTGATCTAGTGGTTAAGGCACCAGGCTAGAAAGCAGAAGGCTGGGAGTTCTAGCCCCACCTTAGGCATGAAAGCCGGCTGGGTCACCTTGGGCCAGTCACTTTGTCTCAGCCCTAGGAATGGCAGTGGCAAATCACTTCTGAAATATTGCCAAGAAAACTGCAGGGACTTGTCCAGGCAGTCACCAGGAATCAACATTGACTCGAAGGCACCAAATAAAATAAAACTTTAAAAAATAGGTAATAGCTTAAAACTATGGTACCAGGCAGGAAAGCTCATCTTGTAAAGAGGATACTACGTAATAACTTTTTTCCCAAGATTACAATAAGAATAGAAAAAATGGGCCTCTCAAGTATACTAATGTATTACTTATTATCATCAAGAAATGGTAAACATACTAAAGTCCCAATAACATACAAACCCTCTTACAATATGCAAATAATTAAGATAAAAGCAAAGGGCCAAAAGTAGCAGAGTACAGTTCTACTTGCCCTTCAAAAGAGGTGCTTCTCAATGTATGTGAGTGCAAATGAAACATCTCCCTTCAAATCATTAAAGTAGACACAGTTTTTCCATAATTGCGTGGCTGATTTGGGACTTGCTCTGGGCTGTCTTTGCATGCGTGTACATGCAAGTCATTCTGTAGCTTTAATGATCCAAAAGGAAGTGTTTGATACATACTCCCATGCTCTTGAAGGATTTATCATCTTTGCAAAAATTTGTAGCAGCTTAGCTGAATCTAAACAATCATAGCAACAGATTAAAAGCCAAACTACAGTTATAAAGTCAATGCTTTTTATTATTTATATGCTCTAAACTTAGGAGAGTTCTCTAGTTAGTACATACTTCACCAAATTTTTGCCATGCTTAGTTATGCCAGTTTTCTGTGAAATAGATTAATAAGATATTCTTTCCAACTTCCCACAGCATCAGACTGTGTATTAAAAAACTCTAACAGATAAATATGCACAGCAGGTTCAATTAGACAAATCAAGAATTAGATTTTGTTTTTGCTTTGGGGTTGTTGTTTTTTTGCTTTCTTTACAAGCCAAAAAGTTCAAAACACAACCCAAATCAATACATACATACATACATACATACAAATAAAAAGAAATGCAAAAAAGAAACAAATATTGTTCATCCAACATCTGCAAGGAGAAGGCCTAGGTACATTTATAGCATGGAACTTTGGAATTAAGCATAGTAATTTAAAGAACAAACACTCAAAATTAATAGAACTTCTTTTAGATGAAGTCTCATTGATTTTTGTTGGTCTATTCTAAGTATAATTAAACTTGGATACAATGATATATCCAGATATTTCAAATAATGTTCAGTTTGCTAACAACTACTGTAAACAGAGAAGCTTACTAAGATTACTACATGATAAACAGATGACCAAACTACATGATGAATTTCTTTATTCTGTTAGAAGAGTTAAACTTTGTAAGGTAAACACTTAATGAAAAATTTGTAGTCTAACTGGGTACATCAGTACTGTGTTGCGATTATACTTGTATCAGGAGGAGCTTTCTCGATTACAATGATTCCATTTTTATCAAGCAACAGAATAATGTTACCAGCACTACTTCCTATTCTATATCTGATCAAGCTAAATACAATCAATACAAACTTACCAATTGTTGCTGCAAGTTCTGGATCAAATGTATTATCTGTAAACCGTAACAAAAGGCTATACAAAGGAAAAGAAAGGAAGAGAGAGAAATGAGATTTTACAAATTCTACTGAAGATATTTATTACCAACTCAAAATTGTATTAAGCAATTATTGTTTTAATGAACACCCTCCCCTTCAAGGCAGACATTCTCCTAGAACTAGGGTCCCAACAAGAATGCCTGCATACATAAGTTCCCCTGTACACCTGTCACTTTGGTGCCAGGCTACCCTGATTTGTACTATAGATTTTAAAACTTAAAAGCAAGTTAGCATGTTGTGAATAATCTTTCCTTTCCATATGGGCCCCCATTGCCATTCCTAGGGGAAAAAAATGTACCAGATGACTACAGCCATTAGTATTCTGTTGGAATATGGTGCAGTAATAGAGAACACTGTAGGGAGGTGAACAGGGTGTCCTAGAACAATTTCATCAGCCTACTCTCTTAACTGTGATCTTTTTATGACTGGCCACACCTACTAAAGCAGTCATTTTGTGATTGTGTGCACAACACACTTTTAGCATTTCAGATGTGCCTACCAATCTAAAAAGGATGGGGGATTTCTAAGATACCAAACTTACATATTCTTTAAGTAGAGAAGGAGCTGCTCTTCTTCTCCTACTACAACTATGATCTGGTTCAGCTTAAGGTTATGTCATCATATGGCGTGGTTTTTGCTTTGTTTGTAGGATACATTTCTCACTTTTCCTCCAGGAATTCAAGTGGGTATATGCTGCACTATTATTTTTTTTCCCCCACAATAACCCAACAAGTTAGACTGGGCTGAGAAACAGTGGCCCAAATTCACCCAGTGAGATTCCGTGATTTAGAGTAGACTGGAACCTAAGTATTCCTTAGGTCCTAGCCCTCCACCTTAGCCACTACAGTACACCACAACTTAATGTGCTGTACAAGCCTGTACATAATGGCTTAGTTTTGTGTGTGCAAACCAAATTAGTATGGTTTTTCAATAAGTCAAGATTAATTATGTAATTTAAAATACACTGGTAAAGCAGTACTGTAACCTGTTCCCTTGAAAAGTCTTGTCCAACAAAATCTTAGAATTTAATTCCACATTTCTAGAAATTGCAGAGGCATTTTAAGCTATGATACATTTCAATTTTTTTTTCAGTTTTATTGATTTTACAAGGACAACCAAAGAGCAAAAGAACAAAGGAATAAAAAGAACAAAAAACATTTTTATGTAAGAAATACTACTTAAAATATCTGAAATCAGAATTATGCACAAGAAATTCAGAAACGTGTTAGTATATCTCCATTTCCCTTATCACAAAATAGCTGGTAAAATATTATTAATGCTGGCTTACTGTGTTGGTTAATCCAACCAGCAAACCAAAGTCAAACTCCCCATGGAATCTGTGAACCTAGTTTGTATATTTGCTTATAAGTACTAAGATAAATTATAGTCTAAAAAGAAAGTAAACTGAATATCTATTTACAATTTTAAAACCCACTTATATTAAAACAGCCTCACTGCATATTTACCAGGCAGTAGCAACAGCAGTACTTGAACGTTAAGATTTAAGATGTCAACAATGAATCTGCAGATACTCATAGAACAGAAATAATACATAGTGATCCAGGATGTTCATATTGCTGATCCAAGCTATAAACTTATTCAACAGCCTTAGAACCTCCCAATACCGAAGACATGCAGCTTATGTGAATCAGCCTTGAAGGACTGCTGCAAAAATAAGTTTTTTTGTTTTTGTTTTTATCTGCACTCAGTCGTTACTGACTCTGCAGTGACTGCTTTTGGACGAGTCCTTTGCAGTTTTCAAGGCAAGGTGCTTCGGAAGTGGTTTGCCAGTGCCTCCTTCCTAGAGCAGAGCCCAGCTGGCGAGTGCAGGAGGCAGGGTTTCTGTTGCTTTGCGCCTTTTTTGGGCAAGCGTCGTTTCACGCTACCAGCAACTGCTCCCAACTCCTTTTGCAAGGTGCCGCCAGCATTTTTTCTCCCACCGGAGTGAGAGTACCCATTTATCTACTCACATGAGTTTTCGAACTGTTGGGTTGACAGGACCTGGGGGAGGAAGCAGGAACTCACTCTGCTATGTGAAGGCTGGGCTCAAACCGCTGAAGTGTCGACCATTTCTGGCCGGCAACTTTCAGCATCATTAAGCCGCTGCGCTTAATGCATATTAATTAATTAATGCATATTAATTAATTAATATTAATGAATGATAAATGTTTACACACCTGCCAAAAGTTTGTTCCAGGAATAGGCAATTCATTGCTCACTAGATCTTTTAGACTAAAATTCCCATAAATCAGCATATCCAACAAATAAGGATTAAATGAGTTGTAGCTCAAGACTCCTTAGGAACACCATGTTGCCTATTTCATCCCACTGGGAATCTGCTGTAGCAAAATACTCAAGTTTCAGCTGCAGCAGAATTCAGGAGACAGACAGACAGACAAAATAAATAAATAAATAAGAGAGAGATCATGTTCTACTTGTTCCATTATACTCGACAACACACCATCCCATGCTTATGTAAATACACTTTGCATTAAAAAAGAAAAAAAACAAGAAAAACAAAAAAAACACCCCTTGCAGACCCTTGCCCTTCATCCTAAGGAAATTAAAGATTCCACAAAGTATCTTAACTTTATACCTAAGAGTCTCAACTTACCTTCCAAGAGGCTCTGAAGCTTGCAGTATGCCTTGCATTACTTTACAGATAAACAATACTTGTAAAATGTAAACTTTTAAAGTCATATACTTGGGGATGACCTAATCCAAAAGATATTCTGGAACTATGCCTGCCAGCAGAGCACTTGCAACAGATTACAGTATATGAAGGCAATGGAGGAGGGGAGAAAGGATACAAGTGTGTGTGTGTGCGTGTGTATGCACATGCAAGTATGTATTCTCCCCCTCTTTCTTCTCTCTCAGTTCCATAAATTCTGAATTGCAGATTTAGTTATTAAAGACTATTCAGGCAGCATATATTCTATCACATAACCAGTGTCGTACTAAACATTGGTTATGGTGCTTCCACAGGCCTAGTAAATAGCGACAGACAACACAAACATCCAGAATCAAAATCCAACAACTTAATGCACATATCAGATAAATATCCACTAGATTATGGAGTTTATCACTGCTTCCAGAACATGTGGGCCTTCCCTAAGGCCTTAAAGATCTGGTTCTGTCACTAGGCCTGTGAGTCAGGAGGTGGGGTTCACCTAGTACATTGACTATGTTAATCGTTATGGATGGATTTGTTTTCACCCCAGCTGCTGTTTTATGTGTGTTGTTTTTGTTTTATTTTTGTTTTGTCTTTGTTTTTTATATATTTTTTAATATTGTTAGCCACCCAGAGTCATTAGCTTGAGATAGGTGACTATATAAATTGATAAATAAATATGAAATCATCTTTAACTGCAGGTATTCATACCCCTATACACCACTCTTACTGACATCTTGTATTGCATTGTTAGTTGATGTTTTTCTTAAAAATCCAGATCAAGGTACTGCTCACAGCAGTAAAGCTAAGCCGTGTCATACCACTACAGAAATTACTCCACACCAAATAATACTTTCAAGGGGATTAAGAAAGATACAATAACCTTTGCCTTGTTTGTGATGTAAGTTATCCAAGATTCACCAATCACATGTACCATGGACTGAGCAGGCAGCTCTGAACAAATCGCCACCCCTCCCTCTCCCCCAAAGGAAAGGCCACTCCTCTGTGAAGTCAGCAAGGGCAAAATTACAGGCAGAACCCCAAAATTATGAGCCTTCACACTACCCCCAGCTAAATTAAGCCCAGCCTGCCAGCTGGCTTCCAAACGCAGCCAAGCAGGATACAGACGTGCCAAAAGCGCAGTGCCTCTGGGCATTCGCAGAGTGCGACGCTCCTCTGAGCCACAGGGGAGCTCCAAGGACAGAGAAGAGATTCGGGGCTGCGGCTTTCGGACGTGCTTGACCCCTCAAACCTTCCCTCCCCCCACAGAACCCCCCCCATCCGACGCACCCTCAGTGAAGAGCGAGTCCCACCAACATTGAGGACTTTCTCGTGAGTAAATATGAATGACTGTCGGGGAACAAGCCCCCCGCCGGCCACGGCACCCTCTTGGCAGAGGAACTGCCCTTTAGCTCGAAGGGGCGGCCAGACTGGGCCTAGCCGGGGTGGGGCAAGGAAGGCCGGCAGAGGGAGACGCAGCGGGGCCCGAAACTGGCCCGAGCCAAAGAAGGAGTTACCTGGACTTGCCC